GGTTTTCGTTGGCTTTTGGCCTTATAGTTCATGTTATTTCACGTCTTTTTTGATACCCTACGCCTACTACAATACGTATTTACTTTGTTTTGTCATTGGCTAATTGCTACCCTCTTAAATCAGTTACTTGTACGAGTAGTTGTAGCAACAAAGACACCTGCTCTTTTGGTAATATAACAAAACTGATAAATGATATCTGTGTTCCTTTAGCTATTCACGTTGTGGTCGTGGCTGCCTGTGCGGATAACAATGTACCAACCGGTGCTGCTGTACACCACAGAAGAGCACGGCTGCTCTCTGACCACATTCTACGTGCGGGTGGAGCAGCACGAGCCCACGCTGCTGATGATCAAGACTTGCAATAATGAGGTACGTTTCAAGAAAAACCACATATCAGATATAGATTGTAATAACTCCTCTCTATAATCGCAGGTCTTTGGCGCCTATTGCTCGTCGCGCTGGTTCGAAAGGAATGTCAAGGATGACAAGGGCCAGCGGCAGGCCTACTTTGGCACCGGCGAAACCTTCCTGTTCTCCTTGTATCCAGAGCGAGCCAAGTACCCCTGGGTGGGCATTGAGGGTGACAAGGATCTGGGACACAGTTCCGAGCTGTTTATGGCAGCCGATTCCAAAATGATTACAATCGGTGGAGGGTAAGTCGTGACGTTGAATCGATACTGTACCTGCTTCACCCACTTATATATGGCTTCTCTTTCCTGTGCTCTTTCCTGTTTAGTGAGGGTCAGGCCATCTGGATGGACGAGAATATACGTTTTGGCAAAACGGATGGTTGCAAGACCTTCAACAATCCCCCGCTCTGTCCATCCGGTGACTTTGAGATCCGCGTACTGGAGGTCTATGGCTTTGTGGGCATCTAAGGGGCATCGGAAGCTCTGTTCAATCCAACCAATATTGCCCGCCGACGATCAAGTGCTCAGCCAAAACCTACCCTTATGCATCTCCACCACCACCACCAAAACCACTCAAACCTAAAGATTTCAATACAAACACACTTCCTTCCGCAACTCCTGGCGGAAGATGATCGTAAAATGTTTCAACATTTATAAAAACCTATTTATAAATAAATTTATCGAAAGTGGCAGAAAGCAGCAGTTTAGCCGTCGTGTTAATGTTAAATGTTTCAAAATGAATGAAAAATTGATTGATAAAAACATACAAATTATATATTATATAATGGAAATACTCTGTGAGTTCATGTTTCAAAACGCAAAGCTTTGAAATTACAATACAATACAATAGTTGTTATACAGTAATAAACCCTATACACATATACCATATATACTATACATAAACATATATCTATACGTATGCATAAACAATTACTATATAATATGTGTATAACTAAATGTAAATCCGTATTTCTAGAGCCATGAAAAATGTTGAAAAGGATAAACCTATAATATTGAAAATGAAAAATGGAAAAGTGAAAAATGGAGAATGGAGAATGGAAAAGAAATGTTTATTATTGTTTATTATAATTTCGTTTAGCATGTATTTTATTTTTTCTTTTTTCTGTAAACCAACCAAATTTACTGACTTGACTGAATTCGTTATTAATGTTGTTAAGATTATTATTGCTATGTGTATAGAAAGTGTATGTAAACCTTGTATAAATTGCATTGAGACCGACCCAATCGAATGTGTCTCTGAACGGTTCACTCCTCCATTTGGTCGCAACTAAAAAAATATATATAGATAAAGCAAAACCCAAACCATGTTTCGATTAAAGCTACAAATGATATGCTCAGATACAACATATACCATATATTAGAACCCACAATACGATATATAGCCCACAATTGATACAAATGTAAAGCCAATGTCCTTAGCCAAAAGAGTCTGTAATCAGCTTAAAGTTCACAGAGAGAGTAAGAGAGCGTCCCACGTAGTCATGTCAAATTGATCTCAAAATGGAAACAAAATGTAGAAAGAAATGTATTACAAGTTGAAGGCTACATGGAAATGAAATGCATAAACAAACCCGATGGAAATTCAATAATTATTTTAAGATTCCATTCCATATTCAATACCAACGAAATTCTTTGCTCACAGACACACACGCGCACTCACGAAATTTTTGCACACTTTTCTAGTCAGTTTTTATGTTAAAGAAAAAGAAAGAAAAAAAATACGAATATGATGTGTGGGATAGGTCTCTTCCTGTGTATGCCTCTCTTGATCTGACTTTGAGTGATTGCAGACTCTGTTGGATCAGTGGAACGATCATTGCACTACTCAAGCGAATTGTTACAACTAAAAAATGGAAAAGCCACAACGAAAATTGAAGGGAAATTGAAGACATGGGCCACAGATTGCACCAAATGACAGGCAAGGCAACACTCCACAACGATTGTGGAGGCTGGTACTCCACAATACCCCACTATCCAATACAATCCAATCCCTATCCTTTCCCCATAAAATATCTAATGCAATCTGTGGGGTATACATAGGTAGAGAGAAGAGAGAGAGAGAGAGAGAGTGGCAGTGGAAGCTACAAGTAAATATGAATAGTTCTTTAGGTTTTAAACAAACTCTCTGTGTTGTTGTTGTTACTATGATTCAATTGTATATGTGTATGTACGTAAGCGCAGCATTATATGGCCTATGAAATAAAATAACCGATCTATACATTACAAAATACCAGCTGCAAATAGTTGAACAAGTTGATCCCTGATGTTGATACACGAGCTAATGCTAAGCGATAAATAAGAGAATGAAATCCGTTTGTTACTTGTTTCTGAATGTGAATTACTTTATTTGGTTGACTAATTCTTACACAATCGCTCGATGATATGATAATGTTTATAGAGCTTAAGACGGTGGAATGCTTGGAGCGGATTGTTTGTGGCATTGACTCAGTCGCTCCACTCCCACCCGGAGGATTCTCGGAGATTCTGCTGGGATGAAGGGAACGCTTACATGGACAGTATTTGGTAAAGCAAACACTAAATCTTTTGTACATAAAAACTGTTTTCTATCTGAATTGTTCTCAATGTGTAGTTTATACTATTTGATATATGCCTATATATTATATACAGATAATTACCCATATACATATATATTTATATTTGAATGTTATTTATGTGTAGCCCTGCAAGCCCTGAAATGAATAGATATAGGATATAGCCAGCAGCTAAGCCTAAGCCCCATAAATCATGCTATAGTGATCGTGTGTTATCTATGTACCCACATACCCAATCAATAATTTATGCAGCAAAACTGGAATTAAATGTACATCCTGCGTACAATATATACAATAGAGTATATATGAAAATTATATTTAAAGATCAATTGAGTGTGTATTGCTGATTGAAAGAGTGACGAGTGTGTTTTGTTTTTCAAATGTTATTTTATTTAATTTATGCATATTTTTAATCGATAAATCCTAATTACAAAACACACATACACACACAGACAGACACTTACTTACATACACACACATATATAGTAGGAGACGAGTAAATTTTTATTCAATAAATTATATTATTAAACAAACAAGAATAACTATTATATAAATATATATGTATGTTAAATCATTTTAGTGGATGTGTAAAAACAACGGAAACAAAATCAAATAAATGAAAATTAAAACAAACAAAATACTATTGTCTCTCCAAGGGAGTTCTCAAACAAGATTGTAGTTTCAAAATAATTATCCTTATGTTCATTATATTTTTTGAGTTTTGGTAAAGTTTCTTATGTTTTTTTTTCTCCTTTTTCTTATCAATTTGCGAGAAACAATAGTAAGCCATACGCACAGAAAACAAAAGATAGCAGCATGGAGGGGACACTGCATCCGGCTGCATTACATAGATCGCTGTTGCAGAGGGTACAGCCGAGGAAGCTCTGATAGGGCACCAACGGATCCGGGGACTCATCGCAGCTGAAGCCCGCCGGCGAGGAATCGCCAAAGAAGCAAGAGCGCCGAACGAAACGCGAACTTCCAGGCACTGCCAAACAATAAACGATAAAACATTGGAATGCATCATTCTTAGGTATGTATATATGTACATATATACATGTAAGTAGAGTAGAACGTTTTATTGTGCATATATGTATACTTACTACCCTCATAGTACTTGGTCAGGCAAGTGGGTTCCACGCCCTGGGGGTTGTAGGATCGCATGTCGCCCAGGACTTCGACGGCATTACAATCCGTCTTGGCTATGTCATCGCCCGAGAAGCTCTCCCCACACCCAGGCTCGTTCACGGAATCGCATTCGAAGCAGGTAATCGCCAGAGCTATTCGCCAGAGGAGGGGTGACGATGACGACATGCGTAAATATGTGTGTCAACCAAGAGAAGGAGGATGGGGAGGAGGAGGAGGAGGGACTGGGACTCACCTGTGCTGACCAGCGTGACGAGCAGCCACAGAGCGACAAACACACGCATTGTTCCGTTCCGAACGATCCCCACTCGCCACTGTCCACTGCGCTAATGGGGCTGTGCTCGAGTATTGAGGTGATTCAATAGATACGATACGGATACAGATGCGATCTGTGCTACAGATGTTTTTCACAGTCTTCACAGATGCCGATGGCAATCACATTATATATAGTGTCTACAGCTAGTGTCTACCCGACTATTGACTACCGACTACCGACTCGAACCGTTGCACACATGAGACTGAGACTGAGACTGAACAGCAACCAAACAGAACTGAGAGCTGAGCGAACAATCGCATTCAGAAATGTGATTTTCATAAACAGATTTTCTTGTTCATTTCTTTTTCATTTCATTTCATTTCGGTTTCCTGGCATTTATACGAGCGTACCTTCGAGTATATCCCATGGAGTGGAGTGGGGGCCGAAATACCGACCGCATTCGTGTTGACATTGTGGGTCGAATGGATGTGGAGCCGTGTGGTGGAAGGGGCTTGCCGCCATTCCTGCCCTTCTCCATCATTTATCTATCCATCCATCGGTGGCAGGCAAAGCAAAAGTTCATTAGTGGCATTTGAACAAATAAACAATTTGGCATTCTGTGTAAAATTAGTTTTTATTAGTTTGTATTTCGCTCTCCGAATTGTTGTTTGCCATCTTTTCGGCTTATACTCGAATTTGGGCGGCAGAACGGACTAATGTGTAGCTCATACGCACTGGTTGAACGTTAACACAATGGGGCGGATACTTCATATTTCCATTAGCTTAATTAATGCTGAAATTGTGACATTAACTGGGGATCAACTTACACATCTAAGAACTCATTTTTGTGGCAAACAATCTATACAAAGGTGTGACTAATTTTGACTAGGTATTCTCAATGGATCTCGGTTTCATTCAGGCTATTTGGGCGGCCAAAAGAAACAAAATTAGTGATATTATTCGCCACGTCTCCACTCGATTGACCCCAATGACCTCCGCTCCATTGCAGTAGTTCTCGTTGTCGCACACATGACAGCTGGCATTCTGTACCGCCGCCAGAGTAGGGTCCATTCTGCACCACAATTCTGTGTCATTTACCTCGCCAAAGTAGCAGCCACGCACTATTTTGCGTACGCCATTTTCTGTTGGAACATACAATAGACATAGGTTTTCGGATTAGTCTACTTTCGGGCTAAATTGTCTAACCCATGTTTGATTCTAAATGGAGCCCCCAAAACTATCAACGAGAGATGAGCATCAGCCGTCGTCTGGGAAATCTATTAAAAATTTTGATATAGTGCGACAGCTGTTTGTTCAAATATGTATCATTCTATATCAACAAAGTGGCGACAAACTATCTATTCAGTGTGATCTTGTATGGTATGATTCAGTCTTTATTTTGAAGAAAGTTTGCTGTAATGATACAAATTTCTTGACAGTATATCCTATAAGTATCTGTCTGACTTTGGATGTTTTGGATTTTCATTTCTTTTAAATAAATTTAAAGTGATAAATTCTCAGAGGCAGGAAACTTTTTACTACATCTATATTTAGTCTATCATTAATCATGATTCATTTAATCACCAATCATTAATTTAATAATTTTATCTAGTGTTCTATAATTATAAAACTACCCTAAACTTTCCTTTAAGTCATTATTCTCAAAGAAAATAGCCATAAATCACCTGAAAATGCATTATATCTCTTTTAACTTATACAAATAATTTTTGAACATTTATCATATATTTTCTTAAAAGCAATGAAACTGTCATAAATCATCTTTACGTGCGTTAAACATCTTGAAACATTTAGAAACTATTTTGGTGCAATTTCTCTACTTTTTTTCAATAATAGCATCGAATAATTGGTGCAGGTACAGATACAAATGTATACTAGGAATTCCTATCCGATACTAATTACAAACACATTTTCCTTCGAATTTATTTATTTTCTGTGAATCAAAGATCAATCCAACTCGCTGGACAGATTATTATGGTTCAACTCCTAAAAATTCAATTTGTTTCTTTAATTCCTAAGACTCCTATGACAACTCTTTCTTGCAATCCCCCAAATTCCAGTACCCCTGCAGCTATACTCACCCTTGAAGACCCGCTTCAGACACGCCGTGGCATTCACGCTGAGCAGATCGCTCTCCAGGAACCGGGGCGGCGCAATGAAGGCGCAGTCGTATTTGAAATGATTCTCGACATCAAAGTCCTCGCCGCAGCTCTCCTCGTAGACGGACTCGCAGGCATAGCACTTGATGGCGTAAGCTATTGGCATTGGAAAGATGAAAACACGAAAAGATGAAAAGCTACGTCTTATTTATGGCCAAAATGAGATCAGACCACAGGAGACAGACAGACAGGCAGCAAACACAAAAGTAAAATGAAAATCAAATAAATCCAAGCAAAAAAAAGTCAAAATGAAAAATGCATTCAAGCTAAGAGTTTCGTTGGGAAACCGAAGCTTAGATACCCTTGAAGTTCGACTAACAGTTTACGATTTGTGCTAAGAGTATCACAAACATGTACAATCGATTCATCATGAGTGCACTTTATTGCATTTTGAACACCCTGTCAAGTCTGTGATACCTTACGGAAGAGTATCAAAAGCCAAAACCAACTGCAGACCAAAACAAAAGCGGAACAAACCTGAGGCCAGCAGAGAGAGCAGCGCGCCAAACAGAAGTAAATATTGCCGCATATTTTCTGGTGGGAGTGCAAAGACGGTTGGGACGTTGGGACGGACAGGAGGTAGGCAAAGGCACTTTTCTCAGGGACGGAGGGCAAAGTTTCCTTTGGATTGTGTTTTATTGGATGGCTTTTATGGAGAATAATTCAAGTTGAACGCTTATTTATAACGATAACTCTTCTCACGCGTCGCCCGCGACTGAACGGCAACAGCTATTGGAACGATCCACTTGAGATTTAAATATAAAACATTTTCACATATGTATACAATACGTATACGTAATAGATGTATATCCACAATATAAAGAAATGTGTTCTCTGGTTCTATAAATTATTTCTACATAATTCTGTTAGAGGGGGCACGTTACGCGAACGTAAACACGCGTCTTTCCTTCGCTTTCCTTTACTTTTTTTGTTCTTTTCTATAAACTTTTCACTCAATTTCCCGCTTAAATGCCAGCCAGTCGACGCGGCCGCCAACGAATTCGAACTGAAAGAATGCCGAAAAGCATTTCCAAATTCAACTCCTTGTCTCTCTGCCTCTTCTTTCTGCATCTCCTTGCCCTCTCCCACACAGCCCCCACTGCCACACAGCCCCACTGCCACGCTGCCACTCTGCCACTCTTTCTCTCTTTTTTGAGTGCTGGTGCGGAAGAAACTTTATGGCCATTTCGTCTGGCGTCATCGCTCACCATTTTAATTTGTCTAATTTTAATGAACGTTTTGCTTTTGGGCTTTACCAACGAGTGGCTGGGGGGAATTTGTACCCCACATGTTTGGGGGGGTGGGAGTGAGTTTAAAGAAGAGACTGGGTGAGCGGACCAGAAGAAAAGGTGTATTTGAACAAGGTGGGAGCCCTTATGGCGACGCTAAAGGCTTGAAAGTATTGATTTGCAGCATTGCACTTTGCGACGCAAAAACAGAGCCTACCCTTCCATCGAGTACCTCCCGTTATGAACGGTGTTTGCTGTACATATATAGCGAAACATCATCTTCCCTGTGACTACGTAAGCGACAAGACAAGACAAGATAAGCGCACAAAGAGCACAATATATAGGCTGGCTAATGCCCCACCTTGTATTTATGCACCTTGGGCTTGCTGTTCTATTATCGGCAGGAAAGAGAGTTCCAAAGAGCAAGGCCGGCTGCAGCATGAGTCAAAGGCAGAAGAGAACGAAATTGAATGGAATTTAGACATGATATTCAAACGGGTGCCCCATGTGTGTCATGTATGGAGGAAGATTTAACGAAATGTCAGAAGCAGAGGCATAGGTCATTCAGCTAGCTCAGAAGTATGGCCTTGTGCGGAGTCCTTTTATAGATTGAAAGCCCCTCCACTTTTCTTCGGACCGAATGTGATGATTATATATTTAACATATTCGATCTCAATCGATCATAAATAATATCGAACCATTTTTTTGAGGAATTTGGAATTGCAGTGTGGAATTCTGTCGTACCCACATATATAATGAAGATGGATGGATCAGGTCATATGATCCACAGCCAAGCCATCCATTTCCTTAAAGTATGCTTTACAATTTTTGTTTAAGGCAAAAAGCTTGAAAATAACGAGAAAAGTTTTTGGTACGTACATATTTTCTATCATACCTCTACGAAATTTCATCGATTTCCACTATCCAGTATTCTATCAAAAAAAAAAATTAATTTACTATCCATTGGTATCACATCTGTGAAAACTTTCACCCATACAAACCATTTACACCCATTCTTTTCAGAGTCTCCCAGAATAGCAATAGCAATAGAAGTTGTACGATTAACAAAATTTTTATTCTAAATAAATAAAGCGATTCGAATGCGGACAAAAAATGTTCGACGAGTGTACAACAATAAATCCAGATTCAGATTCAAGAAGAAGATTCAAGCGGATCCATTCCAAGCTTTCAACCAAAAATGCGCACAAAATCTACTACGGATATGGAAAGAGAGAGAGCGGTTCTCCGGTCTCTTAGGCCAGCAGGCGAGCCACGCCAAAGAAGAGCAGAATGGCTCCGGCAATGGGGGCGATGGTGGCAGATCCGTTGCACTCGTCCTTGGTGCAGACATCGCAGCTCAGCTGCTTGGCGAAGGGCAGGGAGGGGTCCGAGGTGCAACCCGTCTGGGTGTTGCTAATGTCCCCGAAGTAGCAGCTGCGCACCACCTGCGGGTGTCCGGGAACTGCAGAAAGAAAGAAGGTGTGTGTTTAGAGAATCATTTATACGGATTCAGAAATTGATATCGTTGTGCTTATGGTGGAATATTTCATTACTAGATTTCGTCTGGTCATTGAAGCTTATCCATAAAGAATTTAAAAGGTGCCGCACTATTTAGTCTAAATTGATGTACATATATGTATACAATATACATATATCCAACAAATTGTTCACATATTGTGTACGTGCTGGAATTTTAAATTAATTACTTAAGAATTTTCATCATATTGCTTTTCCATTATGGTTGCGATCGTTTCGATGAAAATAAACTGCAATTTGATTACCCGATCAGACAATTATAGCCGCAACAATTATTATTTACAATTGAATGCCGTATATGTATATTCCTCGAGGGTGGCTATGTGTACATCGTTTATTTAAGAGACTACATATAGTACCCAAGTGAGGTATTCTAGTCCGTTCAGTTGCCCAGATAAATCATTTCCATTCCTATTTATCAAATACATTTAGCCACACCCCAGTTTTTCCGCTGCATCTCAATTATATTTGCAGCTCATCCACTACCTATACTATTGACCAAATACAGAATCGTATATACATATACATATATATATAATATATAACGTTTCCGATCATCAAGAACAAATAACTCATATATAGTAAAGAGTGTAATCAGAAGTAATATTTATATAAATTTAATAAATTTTTTTTGTAGTGCCTGTCCTTGCATTTTTTTGTTTAATTGTAGGTTTTAATTACACTCAAGTATGTATTCAAATTAGCATATTTTCCCTCCCTTAACATCGTTAAGAGGGCAGATATGTATGAGTACTCGTCCATAGTTATGACTAATTTGTGTACCCGTGACTTGTGCCCGTCTGTCAGTTAATTGCTCCTGCCACTCCCTGTCACAGCCCCCCCGATTGTTCTGGGGTTGGGAAACGAGGCGTAGGTCGACTGTTAATGTAATTAACAAACAATTATTCGAGGCGATGTTGCGGTCAGCAAGCATAAATACTCCGATTCCTATCCATAAAATATTCAGAAAATATTCGAATCGTTCTATTTCGGAATAATTTTAATGCGCGACAATCGTTGGGCTATCCGAATAACTGAGTTAAAATGCCAAGCCAGCAACTCAAATATGATTTCAATAACACTTGTTGAATTAATAATGAAATGAGCAGATTGCTGCGCGTAGGATTGGTCGGGATGGGGTGTGGCTTTGGGGCATAAATATATGTGCGTTTCGTGCCATTAAGCTCTTATAAAATGTTGAGAAATGTTTCTGAATGTAAATGCAAGATTATGGAAATATGTTTTATTGAAATGAAAAGGGAAACATCAAAAAGAGGAGAGATACTCGTATTTATGAGTTATTTATAAACCGAAATCTCAATGAGATGACACTGAATATGTGGAAATGGTAAACAAATGGAAAGATTCTCTTTATCTATAGGCAAACAACATACACACATATACGATAATGTATATGCATATATTGTAAAGTCTCTTAATTTTGCGGGAAATCTTCCTCTCAGTTGTTTGTGGAATGTTGTCATCGTTTTATTCAGTAAAAACCTTTACAAGTTTCCAAAGAACATACTATTGAAATACTTCTCTTGAGGTCTCTATTAGAATAGGTATTCGTACTATTAAGCAACCAAGATAGATATTTAAACTATCATTCGTGACTGCGATAGAATTGAATAAGAAGTTAGGCATTACCATAAGCTTATCTAATTATATTCCCACACATATCATAGTCTTAGCCGTGCTTTTTTTGCGTAAAAAAGGCTTTGGTCACGCCCCCAGGCCCATGGGTTCGATTCTAATTAATGTTAATCAAGCTAATTGGTTAACTGAGGACTCTGCGTCTGCGTGGGCAGCAGACGAGTTCAAGGGGTGACGTCACTGGTGATCGCTGGTTGCTGGTTGCAGACTTACCCGTATCGATGAGCTTCTTCATGCAACCGGTGGCATTGCGGACGGGGAAGAAGCTCTGCAGGAAGCGTGGCGGGGCAATCTTGCCGCAGTCCAGCAGCAGACTGTCGTCCGACTCGAACTTTTCGCCACACTTGGGATTGGTCACCGACTCGCACTGGTAGCACTTGATGGCATAGCCTGGAACAAGAGATCTATCTCTAGAGATCAATTCAAATGGGATTAGGGGAGTGGGATTTCCTACCCGTGCAGGCCAGAGTGGCCAAGATGGTCAGGGCCAAGATGAGCTTTACACTGGACACCATTTTCACTGACAGGGTAAATTCTTGATTTGAAGAGTATATATTTCGATTGCGACTGGCAGACCTTGACGGTACGGCGACTGACGAGTGTTTAATATATGGCTCATCGAAAAGACGCGTCCCGAGCCCCAGTGACCATGCTCGCGCTCGCACTCATTCGCGTACACTCGAAAGCTTCCACTCGCATGGCGGTGCCTGAGTTTGAGTGGAATTTCATGTTCGTTGCGTGTCTGCTAGTTGAATACTGTTTTCGAAATTTCTATAGTCGGGCTGCTACACAATGTTTTGTGACACACAAACCATACACACACACACACACACACACACAGCGTCTCCATGTTTATAAACGTATATACCCGTAGTGTATATGTAAATATGTATGAAGAATTTTCGCCGACTTGTTTCGGGTGATGTCAGAGACGTTTAGTGTTTTATTTATTTTCAGTTTGTGTTTTTACTCTCCGCCTGAGACAATTCAGACGCACCCGACACGCCATACCATGTCGTAGCTCTTGATAGCACTCGTTTTCTTTTTTCTTTTATTTTCTAATATACTTTTTGAGTATTATGTAAGCCTGAGTTATGCCCTATCCTATACGCTTTCTATGCTTTGTTATGCGAACCCGTTTTTATGCCCTGTAAGCGCGACGTCATCGTTCGCTTTGACCAGCATTCATTCGTTTCGTTTCGATTCTAGTGCGCAGTTGGGAATATACTCAAATTATTCACTATGTGAGTATGAGTATGAGTATGCCGGTTTCAAGTTCTCATTGATGTGTAAATGTGCAACAATTAACAACTGTAGAGGCTGTCAGCCAGCGAATATCGCCGATGGATCGAGAGTTTCGAATCCGTTAGAACACTGTCGGTACAGTATCTGTCACTGTCGGACATCAATGACATCTAAATGCCATATATTTAACCTACCCACACTTGGGTATCTTTCGATCCATGCTCAATGGCAGCTGATGGATCATTTTTGAATATAAAAACTGTGCATTCAATATTTGTATACTCAATTCTTAGGAAGACTAGATCTATACAGGTTTTACCAATAGAAATTAAGTTCAGCCAGACTTCGACTTTAAAGATATTTTTGATATCGTTTCACCATTACGAGATTCCTTTTCCATTTTCTCCCATATTCTTCCATTCTTATTTCAGAATTCTTTCGCACTCTTCTAATGTACTTGCGACACTCCTCCTTCATTTAAAAGTCAATATTTCCGTATGTTCGTAATTAAGCTCAATCCCATTCCAACATCCTCTAAGTCAAGAGTTTCTATTCTCCTTGAAATTTCCATCAGTCTGCATTTATTTCTACTCGTATAAAAATCGATCTTCTAGCTCCCCGACTGGTAAGTCCGCTTGTCAGTTCCCAATTGAAGTTCTCTCGATTTTAATCGTTTTATTTATTGTAGTCCAAGTTTTTTTGTGAACGAAATTTCATAAACTTGTGAGCGCAGGGGAGGACAGAACTCCTCTTTAAGTGGCATTCCCACAAGTCTTATTATAATTTTCTATTTTCTTCAATTAAGTAATTTTTTTCGAATTATGCCAAATGAGTTTGGGTTAATTGAGCAGTCGGAGACGGAGGCGGAGGCGAAAGCGCAGGCGGAGTGAGCCCCCAGCATCAAGAACACTCTCTGATCTGGGGAAGTGGAAGTGTTCTCGGGGTCTTGGAGTTTTTTGAACTTTTCAGAAACGCATTTAACACTTAATAAACTCAAATCCGAAGGGTAGCAGAAGCTGAAACTGAAACTTGACTTCAAAATGAAATTGAACTCAATTATATGTGATTAAACAGGCAGACAAGCGTTTGCCTGCGATGAATTATGCGTACAAATTGCGATTCGGGAAGGTCTACGGATGTTTTTTTATTTTTTACTTATTTCCATTGTTTTACAATATTGGAGCGTTACTCACTTCGGTTCGTTTGAAGCTACCACTTGGGCTGGGCTACAAGGTTCAGGTACTGCAAATAAGAGACTTTTTATTTCACTTGTTCCTCGGAATTTCCCGGGGTACTTACCCTATTCATCCCATAGCGAAATTTAACTATTACTTACCCACCTACATTCTGAGTGTGAATATATCTGAGCAACACCTTCGAGTGTCTAATGTCATACATCCCAAAGGCAAATCTACTGACGTTTTTTCCTCAATTTAAGTACATTCTGAGTGGGTTTGGTTAGGAGTCAGAACTTTAAGCTACTCAGAAAATGGAAAAAAATAAAAAATGAGGTAATTAGACACATCTAATCGAATTAGAGTATGATTTACGGGGACGGGACTGTCATGAGCGTCAATGGAACAGCCTAAATACATACATTTTATAATGATGATCATGAACCTAGATATATGTACGGATGTACGTATGTACACAACCTTCACACTGACAAATACAATAATAATAAAAGCAATTTTGTATGTTTCTCCTCTTCTGAGATATCCGACCTTATCATAAGGATGGAACAATAGAATAGATCTTTACAAGATTTGTCTGGCTTCATTCACAACTATAGGGTAGAAACGAATTAGCTGGGGGTATTGCAAGTGGTTTCTAACCTATCATATGAAAATCAGTTTTTATATGTTCCATAATTGTTTAAATAATACTTGGTACTATTGATTTCCTATATCCCTCTTTATACAACAGAAACTATGCAGAATTCTTCTATTACTACTTCTGACTGCAGTCAATAAGTGGCTTAATAGCTCTAATTCGTTTCTACCCTATAGTTGTGAATGAAGCCAGACAAATCTTGTAAAGATCTATTCTATTGTTTTAACTGGTTCTATGTCTCATTTTCAGTTTCCATTTGCGGCTCATACAATTCATTTGGATATTAGCAAGGACACGCTTTCTTCCATCTTTTATTATCATTTAAATAAGATCAAATTTAAACAAAAAATTTCACAATTTAAGATCCATGAGCAAGAGAGATACACATACTACTATCAAAGGAATTAAGAGACTTAAGAACTATGGAGGTAAGATCTATGCCAGCAGGCGAGCCAGTCCGAAGAAGAGCAGGATGGCACCGGCCACGGGAGCCAGGGAAGCGGATCCGTTGCACTCGTCCTTGGTGCAGACATCGCATCCCAGCTGCTTCACGAAGGGCAGAGAAGGATCCGACTGGCAGCCGCTCTGGATGTTGGAGACGTCACCGAAGTAGCAGCTGCGCACGATCTGCGGATGTCCGACCACTGGAATGGGAGCAAAATGTTGAATGTTGATTACGGATGAGTAAGTCGGCAAATAGCTTTCACTGGCAGTAAATGGAGTGATTGTTCACCGTGAAAACGGAACACTTGTTAATTGCTGTTCACACTTATTTATGACTCCACAGTAGACTGTCGACTGTACCTAATTGTACTAAAGCAACCCCACTGAGCCCTCTGACGAGTCAAGACAAAACACTCTCAAGGCGTCGCATTAAGTTAAGTAAATTCTGAAATTTTCCAGCTGACTGATTAAGCGGTTTTCTCATCGTTTCAATCAATTAAATTTTGCTACGAATTTTCCAATTGGTTCGCCACATGCAGTTCATTTCTCTCAGCTAAGAATTCTATTCATAAGTTGGTCAAACTGAAATATGAGCATAGGATGATCACAATATTTACCACTGAATAATCTTTTGATTCGTTTGCCTTGCAAATATATTCAAAAATGCAAATTGAAATGTTTCACAGACAGAGAATCTTGCGGCATTCATTCACAGCACAATCACGTCATTATTATTATTATTTCCATACAAAACCAAATTAAGCTTCAACTTCAACGTAATTACACGTAACAAACAGAGACAGAGAAACGTGAGAGACAAATACACCTAAAGAAAAAGCATGAAAGCAACAACAGAAATACCCGTATTTACGCATGACATCAGAAGCTGAAAACCTGAACCGATTTCCTCTGATGATCTCAACATATTTGGGTGAACTTTTAAGGGTTTCGGCTTAAGGGCTAAGTTTGGGGATGGTTTGACTTACCGCTTTCGAGGGTCTTCTTCATGCATCCGGTGGCGTTGCGCAGGGGGAAGAAGTTCTGCAGGTAGCGCGGGGGTCCGATCCGGGCACAGTCGATAAGGAGACTCTCATCCGCTTCGAACTTTAGGCCGCACTTGGGCATGGTCAGCGACTCGCACTGATAGCACTTGATGGCATAGGCTGTGAGAGGGGAGGCAGATAGGATTACATAGTTGATTATTCAAGATGGAGCAATAGATTTACAGTAAACTGTTGTTTTTTCGAGAAGTCCTTTCATTATAGAGATTCTTTTATCTTTGAAATATATTTTTGCTGCTATTATACAAGTGAAAGTGATTTTCATTGGATCTTTAATGAAGATTTTATTTTACATTATTGTGCTACCAAATATTGTTGGACAATATGTATTTCCTCTAAAACTTTATGGGAACTCTACAGTTTCTTTTTTTTCAAGAGAACTTCTCTAGCTTGTTCTCCTTGAACTCATTTTTTGGTATATTGAATGAACCGTTCCAAAGGCCTTTTCAGAGACCGTTTGCACTTTGCATTCACTTCCACTTCCACTCCCAACTCTACCCACCCGAACAGGCAAAGCTGATGATGACCACTACGGCCAAACTGCATTTCAGAGCGGACACCATTTTCGTTAGCGCTTGATTTGGTATTTTCTTGAAAACTCTTAAAACTGAACCGCTTTCAACGATGTCTGCTGCACGTCTGACTCTGCCGTTCGTTTCAAAACTTAGCGGCACAAGCCCCATCTCAACTGCGTCGCAGTCGCACCCCAACATGTGGCTCAAAAAACGCTTTGTTTTGAGTGGAAATTACAGCTCGATGTGCAGTTGATGTTTGGTTTTTGAGAAACCGGTTTTATTCAATTATGTTCTAACCAATTTGTTTTATTTGAGTGGTACTTTATGAGGGCTGGAGAGATCTGAGAGCCAAGATCATTTAATAAGGCAATTTGTATGCCCGAGTGCATCTCAAAAGTGTCAGTAATGATTGGGACTAGCGCGTGGAAAGATACTCAAGTTACGATAGAGATATTTTGAGAGTTAACCGGGGAGTGTAGTGGGGTTGATGTCATGGGCTCACAGAGTAATGACTCAGGTTTACAGATCTATTAACATCTAGCCTCAAATTTGTTGTTTGCTTATCGAACAATGGCATTCGATTCAAGTGACAGAATCAACCCACTAATTAGTATATGTGATTTCTCCCTATGGAGTGGTTTTTAGCTCAGAGAAAAGTGCACTCAAATGTATGGCAGTCGATTGGCAGGACTATCACGTTTTTTTTTTTCTTCAAGTTTTCGGCCATTTGAGCAACTGCAAGTTGAGTGTTTTTTGTTGTTGTAGTACAAAATCTAACAAAATTCATAAAATTTACATTCCGTAGGTTCCTGTACAGAGGATCCTTCACAGAGGATAAATAAGACCTCCTACGCTTTGGCAAAAAACGTGTGGTATTCGATTTCCTCCCGCCAGAAGGAGTTCTATCCAAGCAATACCTGGGCATATTCGAGACAGACCGAGTCCTATTCCAGCCAGACAGAATAATATCCCCAGCAGGACAGAAGCGCCCCCTTTGCAAGATCCGAAACTAACAAGCCATCGTCAACCGTCGTCGTCAAGCCAGGACTTTGACTATGGCAACCAAGGGAGGGGCTACGCGGTGTACTAGACTCTAGATAGATATCTTTGTTGTTAGGTTTAAGGATATACCCGTCCATGTATTTAGATAGTAGATACAAATGTTTTCCACTTGTTTATTTATTTATACTAAGCTAAGTTATGATGAATAAAACTATTGAAAAATCATCCTTGCTGTATCCTTTTTCGTGGAAAATATAACGGGGAATATAGGGGAAAAAATAGCAGGGAAAATGTAATATTTTTGATTGGGGAAAATGTCCTTGATCCTTGAAAAGGACTCCATTAAATCATGGACAGTTTTTCAATCACAGGATGCCGTTGCACGCCCAGATCGGCCCACAAATAACCGAGAAAACAACAAAAGTTATTGTTGTCAAATGTTGTACAACAAATTTTTGTTGTTGTACAACAATAACTCCCAACAGGCAACCGCTCAAATGGCCATGAACGAGAATTTAAAAACTGGAATACCAGGCGAACAGAAATCAGCAGCAAGCAACTTTAGCGATTGAAAAAATATTGTGGCATACTTTTGGGGTTTGAAAAACTGAAGCGAAAAATTTAAATAAAAAAATTTTAAAAAAAACCAGCGACCTTCTGCTGATTTCTGTTCGCCTGGTATCCCAGTTTTCAAATTCTCGATTTTGGCCATCAAAAATTTGTTGTACAACAATTGACAATAGCAACTTTTGTTGTTTTCTCCGTTATTTGTGGGCCGATCTGGGCGTGCAACGGCATCCTGTGATCGAAAAACTCTCCCTGATTTAATGGAGTCATTTTCAAGGATCAAGGACATTTTCCCCAATCAAAAATATTACATTTTCCCTGCTATTTTTTCCCCTATATTCCCCGTTATATTTTCTACGAAAAAGGACACAGCAAGGATGATTTTTCAATAGTTTTATTCATCATAGCTTAGCTTAGTATAAATAAATAAACAAGTGGAAAACATTTGTATCTACTATCTAAATATATGGACGCGTCTATCCTTAAACCTAACAACAACTATATCTATCTAGAGTCTAGTACACCGCGTAGCCCCTCCCTTGGTTGCCATAGTCAAAGTCCTGGCTTGACGACGACGGTTGACGATGGCTTGTTAGGTTCGGATCTTGCAAGGGGTGCGCTTCTGTCCTGCTGGAACTGTCCGGCTGCAATAGGACTCGGCCTGTCTCGAATACGCCTCGGTAATGCTTGGATAGCACAACTACATACTGATTCAGCGTTTGATTCGACGGCGGATGAATGAGGTACCGACGGCGAACGGACTGCAAGGGCAGAGAAAAGAGCGTGGGATGCAAGGAAGAGGGCCATGGCAGTCGCCGGATCCAAAGGTCGCCCAGACCAAAGGACACAGCCTCGCGCGACAGGAAATATGTCATCGTGGCCCCGTGTGCAGGAGCCGGTGGAGAGTTTGCGATATCAGCCGGTCATGCATTTGGAGTGGATCGTCATCGTCGTATGAACCGGAAGACCAAAAGGGTGATGCCCCTGGTCAACGATGGAGGGCATGTCGGTCTCCGGGGCACGCAAGTGGTATTTCAAGCCACCCAAGGGTGCGATCTGCCAAGATAATAGGAAGAGTTAAATAAAGTAACAATATTAAATGATATGCAAGCCTTCAGAAGGCTATATCTCAGACAAATAGGGCCAGATCGGTAGATGTCCTTTTTTCCGATGGCAGTCGACTGGCAGGACTCTCCCGATAACGAAAAGACATGCCGCACTCTGATCGGCTGACGGATAGCAGAGTTATAGCCTACGGAAAAACCAGAATTCTAATAAAATGCAAAATCCAACTCTTCGGAAGGCTATATCTCAGACAAATAGGGCCAGATCGCTGCAGGACCAACTCTCCCAGGATCGTGAGGATCCAGACTGTCGAACGGCATCAAAATCTCGACTATGAATATGGGGCCGATTTTTTGCAAATTTAATGATGTAACCATCATGATTTTTTGCGAAAATCGTGAAAAAATGGATGTCCCTTTTTCCGATGGCAGTCGACTGGCAGGACTCTCCCGATCACGAAAAGACATGCCGCACTCTGATCGGCTGACGAATAGCTGAAATATAGCCTACGGAAAAACCAGTATTCTAATAAAATGCAAAATCAAAATCTTCGGAAGGCTACATCTCGGGTAAATAGAGCCAGATCGGTGCAGGACCAACTCTCCCAGGATCGTGAGGATCCAGACTGTCGAACGGCATCAAAATCTCGACTATGAATATGGGGCCGATTTTTTCCAAATTTAATGATGATTTTTTGCGAAAATCGTGAGGAAATGGAAGTCCCTTTTTCCGATGGCAGTTCATTGGCAGGACTCTCCCGATCACGAAAAGACATGCCGCACTCTGATCGGCTGACGGATAGCTGAAATATAGCCTACGGAAAAACCAGTATTCTAATAAAATGCAAAATCCAACTCTTCGGAAAGCTATATCTCAGACAAATAGGGCCAGATCGCTGCAGGACCAACTCTCCCAGGATCGTGAGGATCCAGACTGTCGAACGGCATCAAAATCTCGACTATGAATATGGGGCCGATTTTTTGCAAATTTAATGATGATTTTTTGCGAAAATCGTGAGGAAATGGAAGTCCCTTTTTCCGATGGCAGTTCATTGGCAGGACTCTCCCGATCACGAAAAGACATGCCGCACTCTGATCGGCTGACGGATAGCTGAAATATAGCCTACGGAAAAACCAGTATTCTAATAAAATGCAAAATCCAACTCTTCGGAAAGCTATATCTCAGACAAATAGGGCCAGATCGCTGCAGGACCAACTCTCCCAGGATCGTGAGGATCCAGACTGTCGAACGGCATCAAAATCTCGACTATGAATATGGGGCCGATTTTTTGCAAATTTAATGATGATTTTTTTGCGAAAATCGTGAGGAAATGGAAGTCCCTTTTTCCGATGGCAGTTCATTGGCAGGACTCTCCCGATCACGAAAAGACATGCCGCACTCTGATCGGCTGACGGATAGCTGAAATATAGCCTACGGAAAAACCAGTATTCTAATAAAATGCAAAATCCAACTCTTCGGAAAGCTATATCTCAGACAAATAGGGCCAGATCGCTGCAGGACCAACTCTCCCAGGATCGTGAGGATCCAGACTGTCGAACGGCATCAAAATCTCGACTATGAATATGGGGCCGATTTTTTGCAAATTTAATGATGTAACCATCATGATTTTTTGCGAAAATCAAGAAAAAATGGATGTCCCTTTTTCCGATGGCAGTCGACTGGCAGGACTCTCCCGATCACGAAAAGACATGCCGCACTCTGATCGGCTGACGGATAGCTGAAATATAGCCTACGGAAAAACCAGTATTCTAATAAAATGCAAAATCAAAATCTTCGGAAGGCTACATCTCGGGTAAATAGAGCCAGATCGGTGCAGGACCAACTCTCCCAGGATCGTGAGGATCCAGACTGTCGAACGGCATCAAAATCTCGACTATGAATATGGGGCCGATTTTTTGCAAATTTAATGATGTAACCATCATGATTTTTTGCGAAAATCGTGAAAAAATGGATGTCCCTTTTTCCGATGGCAGTCGACTGGCAGGACTCTCCCGATCACGAAAAGACATGCCGCACTCTGATCGGCTGACGAATAGCTGAAATATAGCCTACGGAAAAACCAGTATTCTAATAAAATGCAAAATCAAAATCTTCGGAAGGCTACATCTCGGGTAAATAGAGCCAGATCGGTGCAGGACCAACTCTCCCAGGATCGTGAGGATCCAGACTGTCGAACGGCATCAAAATCTCGACTATGAATATGGGGCCGATTTTTTCCAAATTTAATGATGTAACCATCATGATTTTTTGCGAAAATCGTGAGAAAATGGATGTCCCTTTTTCCGATGGCAGTCGACTGGCAGGACTCTCCCGATCACGAAAAGACATGCCGCACTCTGATCGGCTGACGGATAGCTGAAATATAGCCTACGGAAAAACCAGTATTCTAATAAAATGCAAAATCAAAATCTTCGGAAGGCTACATCTCGGATAAATAGAGCCAGATCGGTGCAGGACCAACTCTCCCAGGATCGTGAGGATCCAGACTGTCGAACGGCATCAAAATCTCGACTATGAATATGGGGCCGATTTTTTGCAAATTTAATGATGATTTTTTGCGAAAATCAAGAAAAAATGGATGTCCCTTTTTCCGATGGCAGTCGACTGGCAGGACTCTCCCGATCACGAAAAGACATGCCGCACTCTGATCGGCTGACGAATAGCTGAAATATAGCCTACGGAAAAACCAGTATTCTAATAAAATGCAAAATTCAACTCTTCGGAAAGCTACATCTCGGGTAAATAGGTCCAGATCGGTGCAGGACCAACTCTCCCAGGATCGTGAGGATCCAGACTGTCGAACGGCATCAAAATCTCGACTATGAATATGGGGCCGATTTTTTGCAAATTTAATGATGATTTTTTGCGAAAATCGTGAGGAAATGGAAGTCCCTTTTTCCGATGGCAGTTCATTGGCAGGACTCTCCCGATCACGAAAAGACATGCCGCACTCTGATCGGCTGACGGATAGCTGAAATATAGCCTACGGAAAAACCAGTATTCTAATAAAATGCAAAATCCAACTCTTCGGAAAGCTATATCTCAGACAAATAGGGCCAGATCGCTGCAGGACCAACTCTCCCAGGATCGTGAGGATCCAGACTGTCGAACGGCATCAAAATCTCGACTATGAATATGGGGCCGATTTTTTGCAAATTTAATGATGTAACCATCATGATTTTTTGCGAAAATCAAGAAAAAATGGATGTCCCTTTTTCCGATGGCAGTCGACTGGCAGGACTCTCCCGATCACGAAAAGACATGCCGCACTCTGATCGGCTGACGAATAGCTGAAATATAGCCTACGGAAAAACCAGTATTCTAATAAAATGCAAAATCAAAATCTTCGGAAGGCTACATCTCGGGTAAATAGAGCCAGATCGGTGCAGGACCAACTCTCCCAGGATCGTGAGGATCCAGACTGTCGAACGGCATCAAAATCTCGACTATGAATATGGGGCCGATTTTTTGCAAATTTAATGATGTAACCATCATGATTTTTTGCGAAAATCGTGAAAAAATGGAAGTCCCTTTTTCCGATGGCTGTCGACAGGCAGGACTCTCCCAATCACGAAAAGACATGCCGCACTCTGATCGGCTGACGGATAGCAGAGTTATAGCCTACGGAAAAACCAGTATTCTAATAAAATGCAAAATTCAACTCTTCGGAAAGCTACATCTCGGGTAAATAGGTCCAGATCGGTGCAGGACCAACTCTCCCAGGATCGTGAGGATCCAGACTGTCGAACGGCATCAAAATCTCGACTATGAATATGGGGCCGATTTTTTGCAAATTTAATGATGTAACCATCATGATTTTTTGCGAAAATCGTGAAAAAATGGATGTCCCTTTTTCCGATGGCAGTCGACTGGCAGGACTCTCCCGATCACGAAAAGACATGCCGCACTCTGATCGGCTGACGGATAGCTGAAATATAGCCTACGGAAAAACCAGTATTCTAATAAAATGCAAAATCAAAATCTTCGGAAGGCTACATCTCGGGTAAATAGAGCCAGATCGGTGCAGGACCAACTCTCCCAGGATCGTGAGGATCCAGACTGTCGAACGGCATCAAAATCTCGACTATGAATATGGGGCCGATTTTTTGCAAATTTAATGATGTAACCATCATGATTTTTTGCGAAAATCGTGAAAAAATGGAAGTCCCTTTTTCCGATGGCTGTCGACAGGCAGGACTCTCCCAATCACGAAAAGACATGCCGCACTCTGATCGGCTGACGGATAGCAGAGTTATAGCCTACGGAAAAACCAGTATTCTAATAAAATGCAAAATTCAACTCTTCGGAAAGCTACATCTCGGGTAAATAGGTCCAGATCGGTGCAGGACCAACTCTCCCAGGATCGTGAGGATCCAGACTGTCGAACGGCATCAAAATCTCGACTATGAATATGGGGCCGATTTTTTGCAAATTTAATGATGATTTTTTGCGAAAATCGTGAGGAAATGGAAGTCCCTTTTTCCGATGGCAGTTCATTGGCAGGACTCTCCCGATCACGAAAAGACATGCCGCACTCTGATCGGCTGACGAATAGCTGAAATATAGCCTACGGAAAAACCAGTATTCTAATAAAATGCAAAATCAAAATCTTCGGAAGGCTACATCTCGGGTAAATAGAGCCAGATCGGTGCAGGACCAACTCTGCCAGGATCGTGAGGATCCAGACTGTCGAACGGCATCAAAATCTCGACTATGAATATGGGGCCGATTTTTTGCAAATTTAATGATGTAACCATCATGATTTTTTGCGAAAATCGTGAAAAAATGGATGTCCCTTTTTCCGATGGCAGTCGACTGGCAGGACTCTCCCGATCACGAAAAGACATGCCGCACTCTGATCGGCTGACGGATAGCTGAAATATAGCCTACGGAAAAACCAGTATTCTAATAAAATGCAAAATCAAAATCTTCGGAAGGCTACATCTCGGGTAAATAGAGCCAGATCGGTGCAGGACCAACTCTCCCAGGATCGTGAGGATCCAGACTGTCGAACGGCATCAAAATCTCGACTATGAATATGGGGCCGATTTTTTCCAAATTTAATGATGTAACCATCATGATTTTTTGCGAAAATCGTGAGAAAATGGATGTCCCTTTTTCCGATGGCAGTCGACTGGCAGGACTCTCCCGATCACGAAAAGACATGCCGCACTCTGATCGGCTGACGGATAGCTGAAATATAGCCTACGGAAAAACCAGTATTCTAATAAAATGCAAAATCAAAATCTTCGGAAGGCTACATCTCGGATAAATAGAGCCAGATCGGTGCAGGACCAACTCTCCCAGGATCGTGAGGATCCAGACTGTCGAACGGCATCAAAATCTCGACTATGAATATGGGGCCGATTTTTTGCAAATTTAATGATGTAACCATCATGATTTTTTGCGAAAATCGTGAAAAAATGGATGTCCCTTTTTCCGATGGCAGTCGACTGGCAGGACTCTCCCGATCACGAAAAGACATGCCGCACTCTGATCGGCTGACGGATAGCTGAAATATAGCCTACGGAAAAACCAGTATTCTAATAAAATGCTAAATCCAACTCTTCGGAAAGCTATATCTCAGACAAATAGGGCCAGATCGCTGCAGGACCAACTCTCCCAGGATCGTGAGGATCCAGACTGTCGAACGGCATCAAAATCTCGACTATGAATATGGGGCCGATTTTTTGCAAATTTAATGATGTAACCATCATGATTTTTTGCGAAAATCGTGAAAAAATGGATGTCCCTTTTTCCGATGGCAGTCGACTGGCAGGACTCTCCCGATCACGAAAAGACATGCCGCACTCTGATCGGCTGACGAATAGCTGAAATATAGCCTACGGAAAAACCAGTATTCTAATAAAATGCAAAATCCAACTCTTCGGAAAGCTACATCTCGGGTAAATAGGGCCAGATCGGTGCAGGACCAACTCTCCCAGGATCGTGAGGATCCAGACTGTTGAACTATTGTTTATTTGTTAAGAATACAAGTATTGATATGGGGAATTTGGTTTGCATGGCTTTATTGGTGGGGCTGTTATGGGCGGCGAAAGTCAGTGATTATGAGTATGTACTCACTTTTGCTCACAATATATGCTCAAAATGTGCCGAAATCGAGGAATAATACTTAAGCTTTAAACAGCAATGTGGCCACAAAAAATAATGTTTTGCCTATCTTATTGAGCAAGATCGATGGTTAATGAGGCGGAGATAGAGGACAGAGAGGCCTAGCAGGATGCCCAAAGGCGACAGTAATCAACAAGGACAGCCGACAATTTGCATAAATTTAATTAGGAATGGTATGCAACCTCCTGCCACTGCCACTCATCGCTGCTTGAGATTGAGGACTGCGATAGGGGAGGCCTCGCCGAATAAGGATAACGTAGAAAGAAGGAAACCAGTCACGAGGGTTGCATTGTTTCGTAGTCGTATGTAAGGCTCATAATTGGATTAAACTTCTATGGCTATCCGAGTGTCAGTTTGGATTTGTGAAGCAATCCCCACTGTGAGAGATACGGATTGACATACAAAACGAGAAGGGGAGAGAGATACGGATTGACTTTCAGTGAGAGAGATGGGGGCAGACCTTGGCTGATAAGCCGCGATTATTGATAACCCAAAACGGGTCTCGTTTGAGATTTAGAATCGCGGAGCTCAGTTCTATTTTGAAACACGAGGGATGATCGGTGAATCGCTTCCGTTGTTCCTCCTCCTTCTTGGGCCATCTATTATAGAGGCCCTGGGCACCCAAGTGGTCTGCTACGACAACAAGCGGATGTTGTCCCTCATCGAGGGTCTCAATGGCACCGTAGACGAGCAGCTCTCCCTGGCAGCGTTCACCTGGGGCAAGCTCCGGGCCGACTACCCGAGGGATGTGGCCAAGATCGAGGACCTGGACGAGACCATGCAACATGTGATGTGTAGCAAAGATAAGAACATCACCCTCAGCCAGCACCTGCAGGGGCATCTCCTCCGCGAGCACATCCGGGAGCATCTGGAGACCCTAAACAGCACGGCGCTCTTTAAGCAAGCCCTGGAGTCGCCCGAGCACGAGCTGGGAAAGTGGCAGCTGGCCATCGGGCGGCACTCCCGGAGGTTCCACTGTCTCTTCAAACCGGCACAGCTGCAGAAAATCATCGGCAGCGTGTTGAAGCGGCTGTACAGACTGGAAAAGGCCAGCGCGATGGCTGCGTTTCTCTACCAGCTGTATATGGTGGGAAACAAAGACTCCTTCCAGCTGATGGTCTACTCGGAGCTGCTGCTTTACGAGCGCTACAAGAGCGGTGGCCAACAGAGGCCACAGTTCGGCAGCTACATGGCAAAGATGTGGCAGAGCCTGCAGATGGAGGAGCCCTACGCGACCCTCGATCAAGCCGTCAAGCAGCGCCTGCTGGACGCGATAATAGATCTCCTGGGTTATCTCTGAGGAGGATTCAATTGTGTAAACTTTATTCGGTGTTTGAGTGAGTGTGTGCTTGAGTATTTTGTGTTAATTCTTGAGTCATCATTTTTTGTTGCAACTGTGATAATTACATAGAATGTTTTGTTTGTTTGTGTTTGTTTGCTTTACATTAAAATATGTTTCACATAGTATACTGTTTTTACTGGTATTAGGGGTATTTTTGGGATATTTATATTTATTTGTGGAAAGGCTTTTAGAGGGGGCTTTGAGCTTGGCTAACTTTGGCACTCAGCCAGGCAAATCATACGCGTACAAGAACTAATATAATTACTTAATCTTTGAGGGAAATCTAGGCTAAAGAGTAAATTAAACTAACTAAATCGTTAATCAGCAACAGCCCGGCTCCATGGACCAGGCAAAATATCACGTTCCAACTAAAATACAGGATAAAGAGAGAGAGATGCTACAGAAGGACCTTCCTTGAGCCCAGTCCAGTCCAGTCCTTCATTTATATGGCCAGCTGTGGAACTAGACCCAGGATGGGTATCATAAGAATGGCCGTCATAATCGCCACCAATCCGGGGGCACTGTTGCAACGATCTGTGAGGCAGTCCTCGCAGAATATCCGCCGCACATTCTTCTCGGGACTGGTCACGTTGCACAGCTCCACGGGATCCGATTTGTTGGTGTAGTAGCAGAAGCGTTTGGTTATCATCTTGCCATTGTCTAGAGGGGATTGGAGTTATAATAGGGTTCACATGACAAATTCTTCTGATGGCCTTACTCTCCTCCACAGTCTTGCGGCAGACGGGCCGCTCGTGATCCGAGTTGATGGTGCTATTGCAGCTCCTCAGCAGATTGATGTTCCGCTCCTTGATGAGATCCGTGGGTATGTTGTCCTCCTGGAAGGTCACATCGCAGAAGTCCTCTGCCCCAATGGTGTCCGAACTGCAGTGCCAGCACTGCAGATGCCGCTGATGCTGCTGCTCATGTCCGGCTGCAAGGCAGAAACAGAAAGAAGGAGGATTTCAATAAGCCACACTCGTACTTCGGTTGACCTTTGAAAGGGTCACTCTGACATAGGGTCATTCTTGGCAAACTGAGAACTTTATTTGCGTTCTAAAAATACTCGAGGGTGACACAGTTTCCTTTCACCATTCGATATGGGGCGGTTTCTGTGTGTATCCATGGCACTGAGTCGAAGGATTCTTCGACAACGATGTTGACATCATCATCGTCATCATTGCCAGCCAGCCACTGGGTTCATGTGCCGCCCACTGCTGGCAGTGGAGTGGTGCGTGGACAGTCGGGGCGGCGCCATAGCCCAATTTTATTACGTATACGCCATCAAGTCTCTGAATGACGGCGATTCACTGAAGTTACGTTTGAGAATGCGGCTAAATGGTGCGTCAATTTTGGGCGGTGCGGGGCGTGGCTTATAGGAGGAGGGGTACAGCAAATTGCAGCTGTGATGGGGAAAGTGAGAGATTCAACTTTAATTTGACTATGAAAAAGGTTATAAAGTGGAACTAAATCCATCTTTATGGATTTACAATATACCTATTGTTCAGAACCTTATCAATATTTCCCATATGCGTGATGTTTTTTCATATTCATACACATATGTCGTAATCTGATTGAATAGTCTAGATCCTTTGTGAAGAGTTCGACTTAAACATTCTCATAACTTCTATACCCCTCATTCCATTGTGCTTTCTTATCGATACTAGTCTATTATATATTCCAAAATAATTTAATTAATTATCAAGCAAATCAATCAACCTCTTGTTCTCTTGTTCGAATTTCCTTCAGGAGTATTACTCACACAAATTGTCCTAAAAAATCTTTCATTTGTTTCCACTATTTCTTTTTTCTCTTTCTTTTGGTAAAATTTTTGTTATTATTGAATGGGTATTATTTGTTGCCACTTCCCCTCGATGCTTTCATTTTCCTCTTCCAATAAGTCATTGAATTTTCTTCGATTATCCCCCTCTTGCCACATAACTATCCCTGATTGATCTCCTCACATAAATATAGCTTTATATATCCCCCATTATGATCATTTCTTTTATTCCCGAACAAATGTTTATTTGGTTTTCTTTATAATTTGTTTTCGTGGTGCGTTCGATTCGCACCTCGAATATGTATGTGTATCTATTTTTCACGCATAAAACATGAGAATTCTCCAACTATTTATAGGATTAGACAAATGAATTAATTAATTCAAGACTCATTCAAAAGTGGGCCCGAGGAGAGAGAAGCCCCCACTAATTGGCTTGAGAAGTTTGCGTGATTTGGCCTGACAGTGAATCAAGATCGGGTTGAGTCCTTGAGAACGTTTTTGCATGTCCTGCTGGTCAAGACTGGCAGGACTAGCCCCGTTTTCCTTGTTTGGAAGGCAAACATGCCACTTGGGCACGTGCCCCCTCTGCCACAGCTGCCTTGAACACACAATCCAGTCCCTGACACCAAACGAGGAGGAGTGCCTGTCAAATATTGACTGTAAAACATTTGTATTTCATTTTTGTAAAGTTTTCGCTAAATTACATTATTACAGCCTGGCTAAAGATATTACGTAGACGCTCAAAGTCCACCATTCAGTCTTAACTCTAGCGCCAATTGGTGTGTCCTTGGCATGTCAGACGGGGCTGCTTAGAATGGAAGTTCCTTGGGTGTTTTGGTTGCTTCAGGTGCTGCTTTCCACCCACTATTGACTGGACATATGCATAAACTAGGCCCAGCAACTGTCAGACTCTCCTTCAGAGCCTTGCAAAGTATTTTGTTTTGGAATTTGCCATGCAATTTCAGGTAATTGGCGCAGAGTTTTCCCCTTTATGGTGTGATAGTGTGAGTAATTGATTGTTTTTTACTGCCTCAACATTATGGCCAGCTCAAGGTCGGATTTTAACGATTTTGTTTAACATTCTCTAAGCGTTTGGTAAGGTCACGCATATGCCACTGCTTTGGCATTGCTTTGGCTTCCCTCTTGTTTCGCAACGTGTTTCGGGTTTCGGGTAATTGAAAGTTGAGACTTGTCTGAAGGAAGTTCTTCTGCAACCCTATACTCGATGGTTCCTTCTGATACCACATCCACCCCCAAAGCCCCAGAAATTACCCTGTAAACAGGCTTTCAAGCGAAAGTAAATTTAACACCCCCATAAAAACATTGTATCCAGACAATAACAAATATAATTTGATACGGATCGGATGTGTGTCACTTCCTTTGTGGGAGTACCATGCCCATTCCCTGGCCGTATCCTCATTATCGGCTGTCGCAAGTTACGCAATTCCTGCCATTGAACAGGGGCTCTAACAAAAGAGAACTAACCCCCAAAGAAGGACACCAGAATGTGACATAGTTTCTATAGGAGCACTTTGTCGCTGGCACTGGGGACTGGGCACTGTTGGAGATGCCAGATATGGATGCTGCTGAAGAAGACAGCGGGAGTAAGTCAATCGCTGCTGGAAACTGGAGCAGACGCCATCCTGGCGCCAGTCAGACATGCGCACTCTCGATCCGAGTCCAGATTGAAGGCGCACCAGAGGCAGAGGCAGAGGCAGTCAGTGGCAAAAACAAAGCAATTAGATAATTGCAGGACATAAAGGAAGGCTAATTGAGAGCAACAGGAGGGCCCCCAGTCCCAGGCCCAGCCACTGCTTCGATTCACCATTTAATGGCCCAATCACGATGCATTCATCAGAGTCGATTCAGCATTCCAATTATGGAATTTGCATTCAGCATTTTATAGATTTTGTTTTCGGGAAACCAAGTGAAACCAAGCAAACGAAAAATATCAAAATAAATATTGTGCAAACGTCTGGCCGTGTGGCAGTCGGGGAAAATATTTGGTTTTTATGCCATGCAGGTTGCCAATCACTGAAAAACGCGTGAAAATCACTGAACAGAAAATGCTATATGCAGATATATACGAGGTACGAGGTACGAGGTACGAGTACATCACTGTGCATATAGCGATGTTCATTAAGCAAGCAATGACCCACCTTTTTTCTCTTATTTCGAAGAATAATTGCGGAAAAAGCTCAGAGTGACAAGGTGTAAAGATGGGAATAAACGCTTAAGGGGATGGAACAAATTATTACGATTAATTTAATGAGAGATTTAAGTTATGAAGATCAGAAATGAGTTTGGTTCAATCACTTAGAATATGTACCATTTCTTAATCAATTGCTGTAAAATGTCATTCTAAATGTAACGTTTAACAATTGAGTACTCGTAGTGCTCGGAACTGCCTTCCGCAAATCTAAGAACGAACACATCCCATTCTTTCAATTTGAATTGAAACCATGGATGTCAAAGGACTTCATAAAAAACATATTTAATTTAATTTTGTGTTTTAAAATGTAATGCTTTATTTGTGGAAATAGGGAATATGTTTACAGATACCTTCAATTCATGATGTTTAACTTTCAGTTTAGTTGTACCGCCATAATTCCTTTATAAACAATCACATCTATGGATCAACAATAACAGATGCTCTATGCATTGATATATCTCTTTCAGTTTACTCTGCCCGAAACAAATCAAGCCTCTAGAGAATCTTCAATTATCTTCCACCCGCTGTCACTCTCCACACGTGTTCCCCAGTCACAATAAACAGAGCCATGTCTCTAAACACATATTGCCCCATTAATATATCATTATATTCGCCATTCGCTATTAATTTGTTTATGACAGATAAAAACAGCGGACACCTCTATCATTTTGAGTGCTCGAGGCAAACTGTCGCTCATAAATCTTTGAGCAAATCGCAAAAAGCATAAAAATCTCTGGGTGAAATGTGTGAAGTAAATTGTATAGATTCTACCTGAAATTAAATGAAATGAAATGAACGCGAAAGTTGTAAGAATATTGTGCCGACGGAAGAGCTGAAAGAATTTTCATAAACACCGCAAAGGAGAATCGTAAAAACTTTTGCACGAATCGCACCAAAAGAGGAAGACCAGCCACTACATAAACAAAATCGAGAGATGGGGAAAATGGTAAAATTGGGAAAATTTCATTCATGGACTCTATATGGAAACCATCACAGTCGACACAACCACCATCCAAACTAATCGCAACCTGGGGCGGCCTTGTGGGGGCAGATGGAATTACACGTAAACAGAAATTAATGAAAAATGTGTACTGTTCTTGCGGGATTATGTTTACACAGACATTATGGAGCATGTTCTGGTACTGATCGACACTTAGCGGCAACACCTGAGGGTCTCTGTTTCAGTTTCTGTGGCTCACCTGAAATGTGCCAGGCATTTGCCAGCAAGAAGACGCCAGCGATGAGGGCTTTCATTGGCACTGCCGTCATGGCTTCCTTAAGGGAGCTGCAACTGGAATGATAACTGCGAATCCTTGCGGGACTGGTAGGCGACTCTGTGGCGCCGGTCTCCTTTTTGCACTGTATTTGTATCCTTCAAAGCGGAGAGAGACTCAGTGAGAGAGAGCTGCGGGAACTGCGCGCGCGATGCAAACGGTTGCTCGGCCGAGGAACGACTGTGCCTTGCCACTCGCAGGCTTCGCAGTCAAAGTGCCCCACAACCAAGCAACTGCGGCGCTGGCGCCGGCGTTGGATGTCTCTGCTGATGCTGATGCCAGCAGCGCTGTTTGTTGTTACCGTGGACTCCCGACGATGACGTCGACTCTTGGGGATGCCCCATGCTGCCGCTGCCAGACAGCTAGCCAGACACTAGTACTATTTGGATGGGCTTTTGCTTTGTTTTGTTTTCTTGGAGGAAGTTTTATGCAGCTCCATTGACTATGCAGTTCTTGGCATCGGCTGGAAGAAGTTGAAAAACAATATATGTAGTTATGTAGATCTATGGGCTACAATCTATCAAGTCAGATTGGAATGAATTGAAGTGAATTTCAATTTTCAAGAGGTATTATCTTTTATATATTAAAAACTATTCGTAAAAAGATTAACTAAAAAAATATTCAGTATACTTTTGAGAATTTTTTTCAAGACGCTAAGTATATAGTAAAGTTTTGAGGTCTATCTTTTTGTTTACCAAATAACGGCTGTAGTAGTACACTTGGTTTATATGTATGCTATGCTAACGGCGAATAGATGGCCGATCTATTGGAGTCATGATCATTGGGAAGCGTGCTGGACCTCAATGGCAGCAAATGTACTTCCTGTGTGGGTGGTTTCCGCATTCTTATTCTTTCTTGCATTCCTTTTCAGTCGTTTCCTTTGGTATTGGCCGTTTCCGTTTCAAAATGCGCCAGCTCAAAAAGTATTGGCTGTTAACTGAACTAAGATGACTGGTGTGGCGCCATCTGGCCGAGTTTTTTTCTGGCCAAAAAAGGCGCCACTATGGAATATGGCGGCAATAATTGGAACTAAATTTCTTTTTAGCTTTTTTTCCCATTCAAACCAGGGCTGCTGCCGAATAGATTTTCTATGCGCTCAATTCAAATTCAAATTATTTTAATTTTATTATTTGCAGAAGACTACATATTGATATTATTTTTAGCTAAATTTATCGACTCTTAATTTGATGTAAAAACCCTTAATTCAAGTAAATATTCATAATTTATGCTTTTTAGTAATCTTGAAGATCTTCTAGAAGGTGGCAGATGCGTGTCAGATTTATGATCACCGTCACCGCCGCACTGGACATCTTAGCTGGGGAAATCCAAGCTATCCATCTACTTACCGCTTTAAGGAGCAGCCACATAGATTGCGATTGGGAACGAAGAGAAGAGATTTGCTTATATGTACATTTCTGGTGAAGCCTATCAGAATGGGTTCTCAGATCTGTACTGTTTTCTAAAGATAGATGCAATAAATAATTCCAAGCAAATATTTACTTATACCGTAAGAGGGGATGGGGATTGATATAATTTCGCCTATAGACGTACATCGGCTAAATATAAACCAATCTAGGCATAGCAGACCCTTTTAGGATCACGAGGCTTGTAAATTTCTTTTGGTAGATCTTATGAAACGCAGCCAGTTGTTGGAACCAACCATCAAAGTGTGCACCAGAAGTTCAAAGAGTTGGATCAGCCATAAAAAATAGTTTGAATCGAAGAGATTTATCAGCAGCAGATAATGCTGCCTTCAATGGAACCTAATCAGCTGATAATCTACGCCACTTTATGGTCATGTTAAGTCGGCTTTGCTTAAGAGTTTAGTCATGCATTTAGCCAGTAGTGACATATCTAGATCTGCCCCTTATGTTCCAAGCAAATGATTCACATCACCATCGTTCAGGCCGTTCGGCGAGAATGATTCATGGGCAGGACGCACATTTGGCAGTTGGCAACTGCATTCATTCGGAATTAGCCAAATTTGGCCACACTCTTGCCAAATTAGCCATAGCCAGAGCCAAAGCCGTGCTGTGTGTGGAGCACACACGCACCTGGCAGCAGATATACGATTTCGTATGCAAATCTTGACACTAATCTGCGGCATTAGAGGCTCCTCCCCATAGTCGAGCCATAGCCGGCTACCAGAGCCGGCTACCTGAAGCAGAAAGCAGCCAAAGTTGACAAAGCGTGAAAAATGCGACTTGCTCGATTGAATGGATGTCGATTATTGGCAGGGGCTGGATCGGCGGGGCTGAGGTTAAGGCCTGAGCAATAGAAAATCAAATCCAAATTCAAATCCAAATCCGAGCTCGAACTCGAATCACATCGTAAGCGTTGGAGTCGAAGAGCGAGCATGCGCATGTGCAGCCAGCAGCCAACGGTTGCCCTCGGGCCACGGGGCGTATGCGCAACATTCGATTGTCGATTCTCAAAAGCCGTTGTGCCGATGCCGTTGCTGTTGCTGTTGCCCCTTGCCGTTGATAAATGGCCAGTTTTATTGAAAACTCTGTACGACATTTTCGCAGCAGAGCAAATATGTAAGTTGCAGCCAACAAAAAAATCAACAAACAAAAAAAAAAAAAACAAATAAAAGCCGTGCGACAAGTTTAAATGGCCAAAACGTTTATTCGTGGCTTAGTTGCCACCCATTTTTTCTCTGTATTTTATCACATTTTATTTCATTTTGCTCGTATTTCTTAAGTGTTTTTCTTTTTTATGACAGCTTTCGGTTTTTTGTTCGTGCCATGTGACAAATTTTATTTATTTTCGTTATTATTTTCATGCGATTTTAATTAAATCATAATGGAATTAGCACGCTACTCGTACATGGGCGGCACCCAAAACATAGCAGCAATTTGTCTCCGCCTAAAATCCGTATACACCGCAAATCCTACGCTCAATTAGCTAGGGTCAAAGGTTACGATACAAAAGGGAGATACTCGTACAGAGAAATCCAAAGGAAGCCTTTGCGTGGTCGGCAATTAAGGAATGTTTTGCGAATTGAATGCCAACTCATTTCCGCTTCGATGCGGTGGCTGATCCACACATAAGCATATATGTACATATGTATGTCTTATCCCAGAGGCTGGGCAACGTTCATTCTTTTCGATCCGCACAATGTCAAGCGCAGTGATGCGAGACAATTACTTTTGATTTGGCTTTGCAAAATTGCATTTGATTGGGCAAAGAAAGAGGGCAAGTCGGTCGTACATGTGTACGAGAGGATGGTTAAGAATTGAGTCACTTGTGTATTCAGAGGAGAACTGGGATCTGATCTGAGATTACACTCAAGCTTTCCTTGACTTAGGTCATTGGTCCAATCATTAGTCACTGCTGATTGCTCTAAGCTACGCTCACCTAAATATTGATGGTAAGATACACATTGATCTTCATTGCTTAATTCACATCCATTCTGTATCTGAGACAATGATAACAATGTAATTGTTATACTTTTGGAATACACTCTAAGTCTAAGATGCTCTTTACTGAATTTCAAACGTAAATGTTCGATTGACTGGGAAAGGAACTGGATTTAGATCCATTCTAAATTATAGATAGAATTTTAATCCAAAACATATCACTTTTAAAAATAGTTTTTAATTTGTTTCCGTTTCCTACCGAATCCCCCAACCGGGCCTAGTATGTGCCACTCGACGTCGATCGATTCCTGGCCACACACGACACCTTGTGTATCTTGAAGGGTACGTTCCACGTGCGTTCGTTTAGTGTGGTCAGGATGCAATGGAGCAGCTGCTGCAGTTGCCGCATCCGCAGCACATACGGAGCGCTCTCAGAGTCCTTGAAGATAGGCTTGCCCTGGGCCTGGCAATGGAACATGAAGAAGGCCCCACCTGCCGCTGCTTCTGGGATGAAGCCAAAGGCCAGGGCCTTATTCTTGAGCTGCAGGATACCCGTCTTCTGCTGATGGTTGAAGAAGATGCTGAGTGCAGCCCCAAGGCTCTTGTGCCTGTTGTATAGTATCCCAGTGATCACCTTCTCAGTGTTCACCCAGAAGTGGTGCCTGTCCATGGAGCAGGCGGTGAGCAAATTCTCCAGGACCAGCTCTGCAGCCCGCTCCGGCCTGTTGATCCTCGCAGCGCTGGCATTGTGGTACTTATGGCCATTGGCAACGATCCTGTCCAGCGTATGCGAGCTCCAAAAGTCCAGCGACCGGAAGTTGCTGGCACAGCAGGCCATCACACAGCAGGCCAGAGTGCGTCCCGGAACCACTTGAGTTTCGGCAGACTTACCACGAAGTTGTGTCCCCGAAACAATTTGTTCGCCAGACGTACTAGGAAGATCTGAAACATCCTCCACGACCTGTGCACTGCCCCAAAGCGACCACAGCCGGTCGGAGATCTCCACCTGGTACTGGTCGGTCCGGTAGTTGTTACTACGCTTACGACCATCCGCGTTGCGGTTCAGCAGACGGCTCCATACCGGCAGTGGATCTTCATTTTTGTCGTGGACTTGGTCTTGGTGTTGGGGGGACTTTGGTGAAGCACTTTCCATGACAGGACCCAGAATCTGGCAGTTGTTGAATGGGAATTCGGTAGAACTCAACTGAACTGAGCTTCGGGGTAGGATCAGACAGGTAAGTGGAAGGTAATGGGATGTTTGAATTATATTCATGTTGAGCTCCCGGATTTTGGTAGACCTTAGTGCCAAGTTATGCCCTTGTATGCCACGATCTGTGTGCAATGAGCGTTATCTTTATTTATCTCTTTATAAACAATGAGGTTACCTCTTGAGGTTACTGGAGCTATAATTGTCGGCAGTACAAGTTTATAATTATCTTCAATAACTTCAAAGTCCCATGGAAAATCCTTAATTTTCGTACCATCTAATTACGATTTATTTATTTACGTGACACACACACACAGACACCGCGTGACGGACGAGTGTGTGTGTGCGTTTTCCATTTTCAATTACAAATACAATATTAAAGGCATTACAAAGATGTACATATTACAACAAAGTTAAGTGTTTGTGTTTGTGTGAGAGT